GTGTCAGGATTGGGATGCCCATCCAGGATGGGTGAATGTGAAAGGGATGGATGGACAGGGCTGAGGATTTCAAAATATCTGAGGACTCAGATCACTGAGAAGGGGCTTGCTTCTGAAAGAGCAGGTGCACCTCCCCTGGCCTATCTCTTGTCATAAAAATCAAGTTAAAATTATTAATGACCTCACACAATACTTTTTACAGTGACACGAAAGCTTCACCCTTTGGTATCCTCTTGTAAATTTTAAGTCTAAGATTCAGTCTCTTTGTTGCCCCCAGAATCCATTCTCCAGAAGGCAGCCAAAGTGATCTCCTAAAAATCTAAATCTGATCATGTTCCTGCCCTGCTTAAAAACTTTCTATCATTTCCCTTGGAATAAAATCTAAAACCAGCAGCCTTGTAGCACTCTGCTCCTGTCTCCTTCAACTTCATCTCATACCCCTTTCTTCCCTGCTTGTGAGGTTCTAGCCACGTGGGCCTTATTGCTTTTTCTAACACACCAAATTTTTTCCTACCTCAGGGTCTTTGCACTAGCTGTTTTCTCTGTCTGCAAAGCTCTTTTTCTAGTTATTTGCATCTATAGTCCTCTCAGAACGCAAATAGAATCTTCAGAGACCTCCATAATCCTTCTGCAGTAATTCTATCCACCCTCCTATTCATAGATCTCTACTTCCTTTGTAGAACCTATATGTTTTAGTTCATTGTCTGCATTCCTCATTCTCTTAAAAGGCAAACTCCTGGAAGATAGGGAGCAAGTAAGTCTGCTTACTACTGGATCCCCAGGATCTAGAACACAGAGTGCCTATTAAGTAACTAAATGAACAAGAGCTCAAGCCCACAAACAGATTTTTAGATACAGCATGCAACCAACAGGGAAATGTGATATTTAATGTAAGGACCATTTTCCTAGGTCTTCAATTCACATCTCATGTTTTGTCTTTATTCTGAGAGAGCCAATGACCATGTTGATGATTCACCCAATAATCTCATCTGGACACCCTTCCCTAAATGTCAACATTTTAATTTTTGGTCTATTTCAATGACCTACTTCTGCTATTACAATCTCATCTTTCAATAGTCCACCTGGGATTTAAACTTCTTGGCTTTCTGTTTTCTAACTTTCATTCCACCTGTAGGCTCAGAGCATAGAAAGCCTCATTGGTAACTGAGACTTGGGTTCAGGAAGCCAAGACACCAAATCAATGAGCAGAACACCTGCACCATGTCAAGAGTTAGGGATGCAAAGTGTAAATGCTCAGCATGTCCAAGCACAACTTGGATACCAGAAACCAGAGAACTGAACCAGCAAGTTTAACCCAAATGGGAACAGATATAGGGGCAGGGAAGGTGCAGGACATCAAAATCAAGAGATTATCTACAGGCATAGACAAGGACTGGAAGATTCATACAAGGGTCCAGAGAGAATTCTTAGTGACTTCTCTTGCTCCTTCAAACCACTGAAGACTCCTGAAATAGGCATTGGGATGGCGAGAGATATTGCATTAGAGTTATTCTTGGAAATCCAGAACTCTATGGATTTTCGTGACAATCTGGCTTCTTACTTCTCATCAAATCTGTCTCCTGCCAGTGATGTTTTTCAATCTAATTCCAATTTGTAGTTTTTAGTCTTCATCTTACTGGGCCTCCTGGTTATAGTTGACATCATTGATTACCCCTTCCTTCTCAGAATGCTCTGTTCTCTAGGCTTCTATAACATCACATTACCTAATTCTCTCCTGATCGTTTGGATTGTTTCCTGTGTGTTTCCATCATGGGATCCTTACTCTTTCACCTCCCATCTGGTGCATCCGAGTATCTGCTCTGTGCCTTCTTATTGGTTTATGTTATATATTCCCTACAGTGTTCTGTGCCATTCTCATACTTTCAATGATCATGCAAATCCTGATGACTACCAGATTGCTCTCTTGTGCTGTTCTTTCCCGCCAGAGCTTTAGAAGTGTGTGTCCAATAGCCTTCTGGAGATCTTTCTCTGAACCGTCCCAGGCACCTCAATCTCCACATGTCCCAAACTGACTTCCTAGTGTTTCCCTCCCAGTCTCCTACCATTCCAGTAGGCCCTATTTTAAAGGGCAGTTCCATCATTGACCCAGTCATTGAAGCAAGAAACTTGGAGGTCAAACTTGACTGGTTCCTCTCCCTTGCCACCTATCACTATCATTTCATTCATTCATTCATTCATTCATTCAGCAAACTGTAATCAAGCCTTTCTATTTAGCAGGTAGTGTTCTAACTGCAGGCTCAACAGTGGGTAAGTGAAATATGTTATTTCTGTCTGCATGATGCATAAAAACCACTCTGACTTCACCTCTAAAGTATCTTTTTCCTCTGTATCCCCTTCTCTTTTATTCCTAGCAGTACTTGGCATATAATAGATGCTCAATTAATCTTTATCAAATGAAAGACTGAATACATGCTGATGTAACTATCTGAACATCTGTTGTCTGCATAGCACAGATTAGGGCTCAGCATACTGAAGTCATTAACACCATTTCTAAGCACACATTACGAATTAATAGACGTCTAAACATCTGGCCAATTTAGCTGGAAACCACCCATCCCCAGTGAAGCGTTAGTGTGTTTTATCTGTGTTATGTAAACACTCAGATGGTCTGGGCTGTCTGTGGAACTGACTGGGGGTCTGGCAGAATGTGGGTTCAGCCAAACCACTGCTGATCTCTTCCAGATGCACGTCTTATCTCTGAATCACACACACAACTCACTGACTTCTAGAGCTAAGCCTAAGTACAAACTCTGAGAGCTTGTGGGCATTTCCACTGATTCAGTCATTTCCACTTGGTAGTTTGTGAATATCAATACAATTCACTGGCTTGTAGGTCTGATGGCATCAAAATGAATTGAGATTATACACACTGAACATGGTACAGATGGGTTATATCCAGGCAGAACTCAGGCATCACAAGAAATGCATGATATGGTTAAACACTGAGTTAATAATCTTTGACTGATAATGACATATCATCCCAACTATTTCATGACACCAGTAAATATCTTTAGGAAATCCTCAAAGATAATATTTCCACTCTTCCTATCCAATTTTGCCAGATGGCTCAATCATGAAGTAAAACCAAGCATCTTTACCTTTTTCTTCTTGGTGCTCAACAATTAGTGGCAAGGTTAGGTACAACTGAGATGAGAAAAATTAGGAATTTTCCCAATTTCTGCGATCAGCTTAAATAGGAATTTTTTTTCAAATGGAAAGAGCAAAAAGGAAAAACAGAAACACTAAAACCAAGAAAGAGAATTTTATGCAGTTACTGAGGTATCCAGTGTGAGTCACACATCTCCTCTCAATAACCAGCATTCAGGCTTGAGCTACAACAAGCAGAGGGAGCAGGGAGGACACTGTTGGCTGGTCATGTATCCACTGCAGCAAGTGCACAAGACCATTATTTTGTATAACATCAAACTGTACCATGCATACCAGTCCAAGAATGGAAAGAAGTAAACACTGAACTCAGTGATGACTTGCATGTACATATAATTTGGGGGCAAATTAAACACTCACAAAAGGTAAGACTCTTAGAAGGCATGTGGGCTTAGCTGGACCTACACCCTTCCCCACTGGAATCTGATTCATGGATTGTTCATAGCTTCTTCGCACAGAACTGGAAAGAAACAGGTTAACTTGGTTTCGGGGCACCCCACATCCATCTTTCAAATGCAGAAGAAAGAGGGAATGCTTTATACCATTTTAACCTGCTCCATTTTAAGCAGATAGATTTGTCTTATCTGGGAGTTGATGAGAAGACTATGGACTCTGAAAAACAATCTGAGGGTTTTGAAGGGGTGGGGGGTGAGAGGTTGGGGGAACCAGGTGGTGGGTATTAGAGAGGGTACAGATTGCATGGAGCACTGGGTGTGGTGCAAAAACAATGAATACTGTTATGCTGAAAAGAAATTAAAAAAAAAGAAAAAAATGTAGGTCTGTGGATGAGGACAATTAACCCATTTATGCCCTTATAAAGCTGTGGACACTCTTTACACTGCTTTCAGCTTTTGCTTGGCTCAGGAGACTGTCAGAAACTATTTGAAAGTCTTATATATTGGCTTCTGTTTGATTCTTTAAAAAGGTATGGTGGAGTTACACCATGAATTTGCATGAATTGACTATCTGTACTTAGTGTAAAGGATTAAAAGTAAACTCTTAGGTGAGCAGATGATTTTGCCCATGCTCTGGACAAGCACGCTGGGGACAAGAGCATCTCTGAATCCCTCTGGTTTTCTCCCTGATCAGCCTCACCTCTCCAGTGCATCTTGGAGTCTGAGCATCTCACTGGATTTAGTGTGATTTTGGGATTTGGAAAAAATTTTTTTAAAATAATTTGATTATTGATAATATATACCTATGTATTGACTCTGTAGCCCTATCCCTCATTTAAGATGCAAATCCACACTAAATAGGAATAGAACTATGTTTGTGGGGGTTTTGAAATTGCCGGGTCCTTCTAAAGCACTCACACTCACCCTTGATCTCACTTGGTGCTGCTTTTATATTCCAAGATCAACAGTGCCCTTCTGATTTTAAATTTCAGAGGGTAACTCAGAATTCCTGGCCTGCCAGCTTCCTAAGAAATGGTTCTCATGGACTTGGTCTTCTACTTTTGTTGCTTATTTAATCATGTCAGGTTCTCCAACATGAGTAATTTTGTGGGGCGGGGGTGGGGCCGGGATTATAATCCACCTTCACATGATGTTTATTTTCAGCTAGATTTAAGAGAGAGAGAGAGAGGGAATAGAGAGAGGAGGGGGGGTGCTGAGAACCCTCTGATATTTCTTGCATTTCCTGAGAATGCATACATAGGTTAATTCTGTCTTGAAGAGAAATGTTTAATCATTTGCAATTACGGTGCTCAGCAGAGAAAAGGTTAAAGATGAGCCGGTTTTCTCTGAGGCCTCTGGGCTGGGGGTGCACTCGAGCATACATTCTTGGCTAACCAGAAGAAGGAAGCCAGGACTTACGTTCTGTTTCCCCACTATGTTATCAAAGGGCAGTTCGGGGCTCCAGGATCCTTCTGTGAATGTCGACCCACTGTTTCTCCTGTCTGAGGAGCTCACCGATTCCTTGACAATGTCTTCGGGCAATGACAGCAGACTCTCCTCAGGCTGCTTAATCAAGTAGGTCTCTATATTATGCTTCCTCAAGAATTCGTTTCTCTCTTTACCATGACCCTCTTCCACATTATAGTCACCATTGAGGCAGTCCAGCGTGGCTTTGGAAATGTGAATCCTCCTGTGTGCACAAAGCATAGGTCATTATACATTTCCGAGGTGGCCTGCAAAGGCCATTGCTGTTTGTCATCCTGTGCAAAACCAACATCAGTGCTAAACATGGGTACTGTGAAGACAATACTGTGAAGGACAATATGCACTCCCCTGAAAAAGCAGAAAGAATGAAAGAAAACAGAAGTACAGAAGTAAATCAATGAGCAGCGCATCACTGACTTCACCCCGAGGGACACTGCAGCCTCTGATAAAATCCAGCCTTGCTAGCTATAACGAAGCACCTCTTTGGGCTTTTCCTGTGACTCTCTGCCTGATCCCAGCAACCTTTAAGAATTGGTGACTTTTCGGTGTTGTTGACTGGATTGGAAAAACAAGCTCCATAAATGTTTCGGAACCCAAAAGCCATTATTGTCCAAATCACCATGCAACCATAGCAGTTCCCTTAGCATTTCAGGACTTTTCTCATCATTTTCATTTTCACATCTTTGTGCCTGGATTTTTCAACTTTTCTATAATCTTCTTAAAAACAAAGGTCGGTCTTACAAGTTCAGGTTTTATGCACGGAGGGTCCTTTGGGGACATTACTCTAAGATGTAACTTCTTCTAGAAGATATATATGGCAAAGAGAAGGGAACAGAGCTGTGAACACAGGTAGGCAGGTGGCTGCCTAGGCTCACTCACAGGGTAAGTGACTCATTCTTGCACCATCATTACATCACAGCTCATGATCCACGTTTTCTCGTTGTTTTTGTTTTAGCAAAACAACAGATGACATCAAGAGCCTTAATGATCAGACTTGAATTGTGGAAACTTCACATGGTAAATCCTTTGGGGAAGAGTTTTTCTGTCCTCTTAACTGTCTAATTCAATCAGACTATTTATTGTGCTGTATTGTGGTCTGGGTAGATCAGTATGATGATGATGCGCATGGGTTGCTGAGCCAGATTGCCTGGATTGGAATCCTAGCATTACCACTTGCTAGCTGAGAGATCTTGGGCAAGCTACTTAAACTCTCAGTAAGAGTGTTTTCTCACCATAAATATGGGAAAATAAAAGTACCTATCTCTTAGGATCATTGTATTCCAAAGTTGATTTGTGTAAAGTAGTCAAGATTACTTTAGTGTGCATGGTACACTGAACATACTATAAACGAACATGCTTAAATGATTAGGAATATTCATAAAAATGCCACTGTGATATTACTGTTGTCTCTTCCATCCCTTCTCAAGGCTTATAGGACACAGCCTGAGCCCTGGAGAAGGCCTCTCTACTCTGGGCTCTACCCCTTCAAAGCTCATTCTCTGACGCTCTTCCCCTCCTATACCCTATGTTTTCTCGAGCTAATCAAGTAATTAGCATTTCTTGAAATCAAGGTACCATTTCATGCCTATTAAACTCAGAACAAGCCATGCTTTCTGCCTAGAATGCTCACCCCAGATTTTCTACAGGACATTCTCCGACTCCCGAATTCAGCTAAGTCATTTCCCTTAGGCTGACTTTATTGCTCCTCTGAATGAATGGATGGATGAATAAGGGAGATGCTTCATATTTTGCTTGGCTTTTGTAATCATAGAGGAAGTATACCCAAGGAAATAATAAAATTTTTTAAAAGGAGCATTTCCAAATGCATTTTACTTTTAGTACTATCTCCATTTTCCCTGTTACCCTTTTTACCCATCCTGCTAAGCTCCTGCTTACAGAGAATAAATCACTGCAAAGGACACAGAAAGAAACTACAAAAAATGCATTTCTGGTCCTGTAACATGCATTCTCCATGTTTTCCAAACAAGTATCATCATACATAGTCATTGATTTCAAAGGCAAGGCAAGATATTAAAAATAAAGGCATGTGAAACATGTTTTGAGCTTCCTTGAGAAATGTGAGAAATGTGTGTAAGTGCAAATTATTCTGTGATGAATTTTGTTAACACCTAGGAACTCAGTCATGTTAACCTAGGGAAATAGAAAAGTCATTGACCTTCATGAAAAGGATGCTCCAGTCTTCTTTCTCAGATCAAGTTTAGAGCTGGGGGCTAGAAAGCTGTCTTTTTCTCCCAGGCAAAAGAATACTCTTGGAAGGGTTTTGTTAAGCCCGATGGCTGATTTTCCCTTAAAATAATTAAGTTAAATACCAATCTCATTTGATATTTTATCTGGATTCTACATTTTATTATTCTGCTGTCAGTGCTCAGGGAGACTAATATTTGCATATACTAAATCAATATTATGTTTTCTGCAGTGGAAGACATCCTTACTTTTATTTATTGCTGATTGTTCTGCTGAAGTTCTAATCAATATACACTTAAATGTTTTGATAGAAACTGGGCTTCAGATGTTCATTTTCATCTTTGCTAGTGCCTTGAGCTTGTAAGAGAAGCATGTGCAGTTGACAGTATGGTAATTACATTTCCCCCTAAAGAAATGAATCCGTCCTCAGACAATATTCTCATATATGGAATGTCAGGTCAACATCTTCTGGTAATTTCAAATGCCAAGTATATAGTAATAACAGTTATGATAAGAAATAAGATGTAATAATTGGGTGACATTTATTTTGCATAAATGTTATTTTTTAGCCAAAGATATTACTAGATAGTTTGGTTCTGTGGATCATCTCATATAATTTCCGTCCTTCCCAACAACTTTCGGGGATAGGCATTTCTTCACCTCCTTTTGCAGAAGGTGAGATTGACCCAGAGATAATGAGTAAGTAACTGGCCTGGCGTTCTATCAGTGGCAGATGATGGTGCAGGATTGAGACAAGGACTTGCATTTTCAGAGTCTTCTCAAGACCCTACGGCTGTATCATATGGCCATCATGACAGCCATGACCGTAGTGACTATGTCCCAGGCACAGGACAAGGGACTTTATATGCATTATCTCACTTAACAAAAGCTCAGGAACAGTGGTCCTCAAAGTGTGGTACCAAGGCCAACAGCATCAATATCACCCGTGACCTTATTAGGAAGGCCTATTCTGAGATCCTCTCCAGACATATGGATCAGAAACCCTGAGGGTGAAGCCCAATTACCTATGGTTTCACAAGCCCTCAGGTGATTCAGATACATGCCAAAACTTGAGAATCCCTGCTTGTTTGGAGACATGTGGCCAGGGAAAGGATTTTCATCCAGTTCTGCATGACCTCAGGGTCGAGGTACTAACCTTGTATATGCCATAGTGGCATAAGTTAGTACCTCTCTCTTCTGTTCTAGGCATCGTGCTAACCCTAGGGACACAGTGAGGGTCCGGAGAGTCACAATAGGAAGATAGCCATGAGGAAGCTGGATACATTAGAGAGTACAGTGATTTAACAGTGATGCATAATGAGGCACTTACAAGCTGTTTTTATGTGACATCTTTAATTTCTTTGAGCTTCAGGTTCCTTATGAACATAAAGAAAGCTAAGACTGGTACACCTGCTTCAGTGCTCTGATATTCCATCTTTTTAGTTGAAGGTCTGGGGTGACCCTCCTTCGAACAAATTCATCAGCCTCCTTTCTCCGACAGCATCTCCTCAAGTTGGGTCTCTGTGTCACATTTTGGTAATTCTTGCGATATTTCCATCAGTTTCATCATGACTGGATTTGTGATGCTGATCTGTGATCACTGATTAGGACTTGCTGAAAACTCTGATGATGGTTTACATTTTTCAGCAATAAAATATTTTAAAACTAAGGAATGCACGTTGTTTTTTAAGACATAATGGTACTTCACACTAAGAGACTATAGTAGAGTGCAAATATAGCTTTGATAGGCACTAGAAAACCAAAATATTCATTTGACTCATTTTATTGCAATATTAGCTTTATTGTAGGGGGCTGGAACTGAACTCACAATATCTCTAAGGTATGTCTGTATTTACTATGTGGAGTGTCATTAGATGAAATGATGTAACATATTGATGGTAGTGAGCTAACTTGTGAGTGTGTGGCAGTTACCCAAAACACGTTTGGAATTGGGAGCTAATTCTTACTGAAAGGGAAAGTAAACTGGGTTTATTCCTACATGCCTTGATGGACAGGAAAAGGAAGTAGACATTTGAAAAGCAAATAAAACCCAGCTATTTCAAACCATGGAGAATTTGGAGACATGTCTTGGCTTTACTGCATTTCTGCACAGAGGCATGTCCTACGCCTCAGCAGACCTAAGTAATGTACATAAGACTGAATACTTTGTAAGCACTATCTTCTTCGAAGCCAAGTTTTTGAGGTCAGTAGCATTCTCAGACCAATTATACAGTGAAGGAACCAGGCAAGGAGATTCAGAAACTTACCCTAGCCTCTATCACTGGTAAGTAGTAAAGCCACCGTTCAAATACCTCATCAGATTTAAACTCAGTCATTCTTGTGTTCCTTGGTGTGGTGGAGGACATTAGGTACACTGGCCTCCAGAAGTCAAAGCATTATGTCACACACCCTCAAAGCTGTGTTCTGATGTTTGCAAAGGGAATTTACTGAGCATATGGCAACTCTTCATGCAACAACACATTTAAGACACAGAACATAGATGGATTAGGTGTATTGTTTGTTGGAATATAACAGGCAGTTATTTGCAGGAAAATCCAGAGAATGTAAGGACTTAAAAAACCCAGTGTTAGGCTTATCTTATTCTAAGTCTGCATGACAAAGAGTGGTGACCATTAAAGACAGTGATGGCTCCCTTGAAAGGATGGCAATGTGCCCGCGGACAGCACTGCATGGTTTACAAAGTGCTTCATGCCCACTGCCCAACACAGCCTCAGACAAAATCTGTGACGTGGACTGTGCCCATTTGGCAGATGGGAAACACCCTCATGCAGAAGGGGCGTAAAATCACAATCACAATAATTATTACCACCTCTCTTTTTATAGTGAGGAAAGTTAGACTCAGAGAAGTTAAGTATTGGCCTGAGGTCATACAGACATCACAACAAAACCCAAGTCTGTGCTAAAACCACATGTTAGGTGCTAACCATGCTTTACATGACTTGCTAAGGTAACAGAGCTTAGTATGGGGAAGAGTGGAAATCCTACTTTCTCTCATACCACCTTCTACAGTTTATTTCCCATGATACTATGTTACCTGATATTAAATATAATTAGCAAGGAATGACAGCAGACTCCAGAGAACTCTGTGACTCCATAGGTAGGGTTGGGGATGAGGCATGGGGAAAGGAATATGCATACATGCTCTGTCTGTCTTAGCTTTCTGTCTGCCCCTTGGTCTGTCTATCTATATCATCTATCTACCTTCTATTATTTATCATCTGTTAGAGAGAGAGTATATATAAGAACTCAGTACAACTTACTGGTTCACACTTACCCCAAATCTTATTAGGCCCAGTCTGCGTAAGCAGAATCTCACTACAACTTTTAAGGGTTCAGTGAACACTTCCAGGCCACTGGTATCACTAGAGAGTCTATACCGATTGGTCTTGCCAGCCAAATTCAGAGAGCTGAGTTTTCAAGGTAGGTAAGGTCATACAGAAGGTCAGGAGGTCTTAACCCTGACTGCCCATGAGAATTGCTTTAAGAAGTTATAGACTCTGCATAGATTCTGCTTTATATGAACTGGCATAGGTCTGGACACCATAGGTTTCAAAATATTCCTTTGCTGATTCCAATAGAGGTCAAGTCTGGAAACCAATGTTTTGCAGGGCTGGGTTCTGATTACCTGCCTGCTGTCCCACCATCCTCACTGCCTGTGATGAATTTCATTAGACTTTTGAGGCCAATATTTGTATGATGTTTTAATGTCCTGTATCCTCCCAAACACCTGCTTCTATAGACAGATGGCTCTGAATTCTGCACACAGGAAACCAACCATCACAAAGTGAGCAAATGACAAGGGTTAAACAAGAAGAGGGCTTTTCTCTGACTTACCCAGGGATTCCTCCAGATTCAAGTTTGTTCGCGATGTCCACATCCCAGGACCAGACATCAAACTGCCACTTCCGTAGGCCCAGCACTCCACATAGAACTGAGCCTGAGTGGATTCCAATCCGCATGTCCACATCATGCTTTGTCCTTGACCTCACATACCTGTTGACACAGGAGAATGGAGACACATGCATAAGGCGAGAGTGGGTACTCTTGGCTTTGGTAGCAGCCCCATTCTTCCCAACTCCATAAGTTCAACTCCATCCTGTTCATATGCCACCTCTTCCATGAAGCCTTCTTAGATTTTTCTGGTAATGGGAAAAAATTTCTTACTCTCCTGAGCTCCCCTACTCTTCTATCTGAAATTTTAAGTGCTCTTATCACCCTTCTCCCCAATCCTGCTCATGCTATACAACCTATCTCAGAGAATGGCATCAATATCTTTCTCTGCCCACTAGTGCATAAACCTGGGATTGACTATAGATTCAGCCCTCCATGGCATACACCATTTCCAAGCCAAGTATTTTCATTTTCACTCTGTTTCCTTCTCTCTCCACCAACACTCCAGTTCAGCAGGCTTCAGTCCAGGGTCCCTGTTCTAATCTGAACTTCTTCCAGCTCATGCTCTGCCAGTTTATCACAAACACAAATGTGACATTTTCACTCCATTAGTCCCTTATTGAAGACTCCTTGCTGACCTCCTATCCGGAGGGCAGTGGACTGTGGAGCAGAGTGCTCATGTCCCAGGGCTGAATGGGTTCATCCTTGGCATGAAGGAAGAAAATGTTAGACCCTCCCTTTATAGCTCTTTAAAAACCTTTACCTAAATTTGATATATGGGTTTCTCACATTGAATTCACAGGTCCATGCCAGATTGTAAGCAGGGAGGAAGCCTCTTGAGAAAAGAAAGTACTTCTACTGTTGGAAGGTTTCTGCAGGCACCCACAACCTTTCTTCACTTTCAAAGCAGTTCAAACAATTTTAGTTTGAGTTAAATGATGCCATTTTCATAGCAAGAAATTCAAATGGTAGAATATAATATGGTCAACCCTTGAAACCACACCTGGAGCCTCATGCCGTGCCAATAGTTGGGCTTAAAAACATGACCTCCATGTGCTGCCCACCTCCAGCCTTTATTTGAGAGACCAAATGAGTGAATGATTCCATGTACAAAACTGAATCTTTGTCTTCAGTGCTCCTTACAAGTAGGAAGATAACACAAAGTTAGTTAAATAAGAAAGTAAAATTGCAGAAGGTTGAAAATATAAAAATATTGAAATAGACCAGACACTAGGAAGGCAGTCGTGAGAGGATGTTTGTGGCTAAAGAAAGAGTTCTTGTCCCTGGTGAAGATTCCATTTTCTGGGCCAATGTTTTAATTTTAACTTTTACTTTAAAATTACGTAGTATCCTTCATCCACCAGTGAAGCGGATGGTAGAAGGCATGTGGAAAACCTGAACAAGGCAAGAGGAGGGACAGCCTCCAGCAGTTGAAAGGAGCACTTCAGCTCTGACACAAGTCACCCAGTGAGTGTGTGGGGGGCAGGTTGTTGGGAGAGGTCATCTGCGATGTTGGCCGGCTGGGTCAAGTACTATAATACCAAGCACGTGGCAGGATTGTACTTTTCTGTATATTTCATTGATTTTTGGCCAACAAAATGTGAACAGAAGTGACATGTGTGATTTGCTTCTGGGCAGAAGCTTTAAGAGCCTGAGCAATCACACACTCTCTTTTTCCTCCCTTCCTTCTATGTTAATTGTCACTCAAGGACACTTGGGAGGAAACTTCAAAACTGGGGTTCTTGAATGAGGATGATGTCTAGTGGTACATTGCCACTCCCCCTAACCCTACCACAGGGACAGAAAATGTGAGTGAAAAATAAATCTTTGCTGTTTTAAGCCACTGAGATTTGGGAGGATGTTTGTTACTTCGGCATAACCAGGACCATGCTGACTGGTACAATCATCAGTCCCAATCTACCTTCTTCCCATTACCCCTACAGTATAAAGCTTAATGTGGACTCTAGCACCAAACTACCTGAATTTATATCTTGCTCTGCCACAGCCTAGCTGTATGACCTTAGGCAAATTACTTAGCTTCCATCCATAAAATGGGAATAATAATAGCACTGTCAGGATTAAATGATTGGATGAATGTGGAGTTGAGAAAGTGTCTGGCACAGGCAAAGGATGACTTGGTTGCTTATCACATACAAGGGAACTGCAGCCCAGAAGCAAAAGGAAATACAACTTGTCACACAGCTGGTAAGTGGGATTCTAGGACCAAAGTGGGGCTGATGAGTCTTTACCCCCTCACCCTCATTGCAACATAGGTACTGTCTATGGCATGTGATTCTGGGCAAATGGCTTGGTCTGACCCCAAGTTTCAAGAGCTATAAAATAAAACTCTAGCAGATTGCTTCATTCATGGAGACTTGGTGAGCCCTGAAGGAGGTCATGGGTGTTAAAATGCTTTGCCAAGTAATTGTGAGGGACTATTGAACAGCACACTGTGCTCCTACCATTAGGTAATTAACACGATACAGGGAATGCATTGGAACCTCTTAATAAAAAGGCATTTAGATTTTTAAAAATTTTCTTCTACAAGACAAACAAATAATAAGACAAAATTTCCTTATTGTACTTTTTTTTTTTTAAAACCTTTCTTTTTGTTATGTCTGGGATTTGACCTAAATGAAAGATAGGAATAAACAGTGTATAATAATGAATAATCTGCTGGTATTGCTCCTCCTTGGAAAGACGACCCAGTGGTTGCACTGAACTGCAAACACACACCATGTGTTTCAAGATCAGCTCTTGAGGGGAGGACCTGTGAGCGTCCTTGAAGCTAAAATGAAGGAATTCTGCTCTGCTTTACAAGTCTTCTTCATTTCTGCCAAGGCAGAGCCCCAGGGATGCTTTGCTGTGCCTCATGAGCCACAAGTAAAGAGAATATGGCTAGAGATCCTTACATTGTACCCTCTCTTTCCTCCCCACAAACTCTGAGCCTCTGGAAGGCAGGGGTACTTACTATCTTTGATTTCCACTTTCCCAGACCATAGCACAGTGCTGAGCACATAGGTATAGCCAGTGCTCAAAGGTATTTACTGAATTAATGGACAAGGCTCAAAAGCTTTCTTGCTCTATGGCTCCATGTTGTCCCAGGATGCTTCTGAGAATCCCAGGAAACCACAGGGGTATCTTTGAACCTGCCGCATCTTCCCCCTTCAAATAAGGCAGCTTTGCTCTCATCTGTTTCTCATGGCAGGTTTCCAGCTAAAAAATTTTAAAGTAGAGAATGCCTTAATTATTATTAGGTTTTGCAGCTGTATGTCAAGCTGGGAACTAAAAACACAACAGTCAACCTGCAAAATAATTGAAGTTATCATTTTTTTTTTTTCCATTAGAACCATTAAAGAGGAGAGTGCTTGGTATATGGTAAAACATAAAAACCCTGGGAATTTGTCTTTTGATTTCAATGCTTCAAACAGTTCTTTTTTAGCCAATTAATCAGTCTGTAGAAGGTGCTGGAGGAATGAAAGGAAGCATAATCTAGTAGCCATCATTGATCTGTTAATCAGACTCCTCTACTGTTGAATGAATGGATGAATAAAAAGACCAACTTCAGGGGTGCCTGGGTGGTTCAGTCGGCTAAGTATCTGAGTCTTGATTTCAGTTCAGATCATGATCTCAGGGTCGTGAGACTGAGTCCCATGTGGGGCTCTCCCCTGAGTGTGGAGCCTGCTTAAGATGCTCTCTCCCCCTCTCCCTCTGCCCAAACCCCCTCTACACACACCCCGTGCTGTCTTTCTCTCTTAAAAAAAAAAGAGAGAGAGACAGAGAGAGAGAGAGAGAGAGAGAGAGATAGAGACCAGCTTCAGCACTGGAGCAGTTGGTACTGTGGGAGGAAGGATACCCAACTCCTCCACTTTGGGGGCAGAAACCAGGGTTCCAGTGCTGGCTCTATCCTTTGCTGTTTGTGGGAGCTAGAACAAACACATATATTCATTCCTCCGTCTCCTCCTCATCGCCAGTGGGAATGATATCAGCTCCTCAATGCAAATCACTCTCAAAACCACCAAAGAGCAGAGTGTGCATTGAAACAGGCCAGGATGTGAAGTTAGGCTTCTCCACTTGCTGACGGTGGCCCTTGGACTGGGTGCATGAGGCCCCAAGTCCTACTCTCTCAGGTAAAATGGGAAAGAGAACGAGTCCCTTGCAGAGCTGTTAGGATGCTTTATAAACTCATATATACAAAGCACTTAACCTGGTATATGCAATCATGCAAAAATAATAACAAGTATTAATTTTTATTAGTAATAACAAATTTTAACTACACATGTTGAATTGGGTAAAAAATTATAAATCGGTCACACAAACTTTTCCTGCTTAAACTGTGCCTGCATTTACTCTATTTAACAACAAAACCCATTTCATATACCAGGTAGGCAGTTCCTAGGCATAAATTGGCTCCAAAAGGACAAACCAATTTATAATTTAATAAAAACTTGGGTCATCCTCAGCTACCTGGAAGAAACAGTGCCTTTGAACATTCTGGAATAAAGGAGAGGGGACAGAGTTAGTTATGGAATCATCTACAATCACTGTGTCATACCTTATCTTTAAAATAACCCTGAGTATTATTACCACCTACACCTTTCCCAAATGAGGAAATGGAGTCTCAAATATTTCCTTTCTTTAGGTCACACAGCTACAGGTGAAAGAGCTAGAATTTCACCACAGATGTGTGAACCTAATCCCAACAAGCCATATTCAGAGGTATATGGATCACTGGGGTCTGATTTGGTTCCACTCTATAGGCCCATGACAGTCTCTACCAATTAATTCCAAAGGCATCAGAATTCTTAAAATGTTCAAAAGCCACCATGTCTTATCCTAGCATAGAAGTTCAGTTTCACAAAGTCCTTCCTTTTGGTGGCCACAGTGATTCTGAGATGTAGGTAACCATAAGGGTTATAAGTTTCCATTTTACAGATGTGGGAATTGAGGCTCCAAGAGAATTCAGGTGAGTCTAATTACCTTTTCTTTTTTTTTTAAGATTTTATTTATTTATATGAGAGAGAGTGAGAGAGACAGAGAGAGAGCATGAGAGGGGGCAGGAGCAGAGGGAGAAGCAGACTTCCACTGAGCAGGGAGCCCAA